TCTAGGTGAACTCCGAGGTATTTTGCCTCGGAAACTTTTTCAAGATTTTCACATTCGGAACAAACATTAGCTAAAAATTGGTCTACTTCTTTGATATTGCTATGAATGATGATTCTTAATATTTCATTAGGCTGGTCCAGGCTGTTTGCTGAAAAAGTGATGTATTTAGTTTTGGAAGCGTTCATTTTCAGGAGGTTATCTTCCAGCCAGTGGTAGATTTTTGAAATTTCCAATGATGCCTTTTTATGAGCCTCTTCCCAACTTCCTGCTGATAAGAATAGAGCCGTGTCATCAGTAAACGAAAATACTCTGCCTTGGACACTTAAGTTAAATAACCCATTTACATATATAAGGAAGAGTAAGGGAGAGAGGACAGTTCCCTGAGGAAGACCTACTTCATAGGATGTCACTTTACTGGCAATATCACCCAATGTAACAATTTGCTTGCTGCCACTAATATAGCTTCGGAGCTATCTCACAGGGACTCCCCTCACTCTCATTTCCTCTGGCTTATTTATCAACTTATTGTGCGTAATAGTATCAAATGCCTTTTCTCTACCAAGCAGAATTAGCACAGGCTTATTATGTTTGTCGATTTCCAGCAGGATTTCAGTCACCAGATCTGCAACTGCGTTCTGAGTACTGACATTCTGACGGAAGCCATACATGGTGCTCCTAAAAAGGGTTTAAATCGAAGTCATTCGGGACTTAAAAATTTGAGCTGGAATGTCAAGAGGAGCACTACTTACCAGATACTAAAAACCACAATTTAGAAATCGGTTATCGAAGCTCCTGGAGAAATAATCGCGATTTTATGGGTTTTTAGTATGTTACTCTCCGATATGAGGTGAAAATTTCCTGAAATTTTCATGCGAAAAATCTGCAAAAAAATAAACTCGCTTGAGAGTCCGGGAGTCGTCTTTCGTCTGCAGAGGAATCGGAGGGCCTAAATCTAGGACCCTTCGCCTTGAGAAAACCCCCAGCAATTTATTTCTAAATGAAAAACTAAACCCCACGTCTTCAAATATGAAAAGGCTAGACATGCAAAACTGATAGCGTATCATATTATATTTGAATTAACGCTGCTAAAGCGAATGAAAAAAACCAGCATTTGCAGTTGCAGCAAGATGCAGTACAGGTACATTCATCCAGAATAAATCAACGGTGTAAGTCGGCAATCACATAACTCGTTTGCGGTGTCTAAAAATCTCCGCCTCCATTTTATTTTTTTAAAGGAGAACAAATCAACATCATTCCTTGAAGTTTCTGCAGAATATTCTTGGCATAGAGAAGAAAAATCACGGCAGCTTTAAAGAATTGCTGTTGAGTAGTTTTCCGTTGAAAAAATAAAGTATGACAGGAAGTCTGCGACGTTGCAAACCGAGTTATGTGATTGCCGACTTACACCGTCGAAATGTAGTTAAACAGCAACAAGGCAATCTTACAGCTTTGAAGGGACAAATTAGTGAAACATTTCGTAAAATTACTCATAAATAAAGAAAATTCTGCAAGGTATCCCGTGCAAACGCCATCATTTTATAGTCAAATCCATAATTTTGAAGTTCAACACTTGGCAACGTCGCAACAGGAGTAAAAGAAATTTTCCAGTCATGAAAATTTCAAGGAATTTGCTACTTATACGACTACAAATTCAGATCAATTGATTAAAACATGGGCTCATGCCATCGTGTTGCCTGCAAGCCCAAAATTGTCACGTTGAAAACTTGGCAACGTTGCAACGAGAAGAAAAAATATTTTCCGGCCATGAAAATTTCAGGAAATTTTTACCTAACACTGGAGAATAACATACTAAAAATTCAGACCGATCCAAGAGGCAGGGAACCAGTGTCACAATTTTTTTGCAAAATCGAAACTTTGCACCGTTGTAACGGGAGCGAAACAAATTTCTCGGTTATGAAAATTTCAGGGAAATGGTAAGTACTTCGTACCAGAGAAAAACATACTAAAAATTTAGATCAATCCAAGAAGAAATGGGGCAGGGGGTAATTTAGTTGCCCTACATAAGCCTACTTTCCAAAAAAAACCTAACCTTAGTAGCACATCTTGTAATATGATTCGTAAAAAAAAAAATTAAAACTGGTAAATTTTACGAGTGCGAAAGATGTACGTAAAAAATCAGATTCGGAGAACTTAACGTAAAAAATTTGTGATCAAAGACAAAAAAAAAATTGGGGGATTGAATTGAAATTTTCAGGTAAAAAATTCGCGATTTTTACGTATTGAAAACCAGGAAATAAATTCGGAAAAAAAATTAAATATGTGAAAAATCATAGATTTTGTACGTAAAAAAAAGGTCAGAAAGAAATTCAAGGAAGACAATTTTTTTTTCGTTTTGAAACTACGATTTTTACGTTCAAAACTGTGGTCACTAAATTTTTTTCTAATTTTTTGACGAAAAAAACCCCTATTTTTCTTTTTAACCTCTTCGAACATCTATTTTATATGTAAAAGTTATGGGAACACCCAAAAAATTGGGGGAGAATGACTGCACTGAAAATTCGCTAATTTGACCGAATACGAAATACCTTGGTAGTTTTTATTAAAAGGAAACTAAGCAAAAACTTCTAATGTCCCCTAAAGATTTTTTGTAAAAAAAAGTATAGCCCGAAAACTGGATACAAAAACACACTGTTCTGAACAAAAACCAGAGTTTTTAAAAATTTGAGAAGTTTTTAATAACTCATCTTTATTATAAAAGTTAAGACATTATTATAAAAACATTGATGCATGTTATAATAAAATTTAAGGAAAGAAAAAGAAAAAAGGGGGACAAATTATTAAAGTGTACATACTTTTTTTCACATATTCATGAACAACAAAGGTACTTTTGAAAGTAGGTATACTATCTTTAAAATATCCATGATAAATATTAGTTTTTGCCCGTATTCAGTTTTTCCAAATTCAAAAAATATTCAGCAATTCGTTCTCACACATATTCAACAATAAAAATATTCACTTATACAGCGCAAATTTGCCCCTCTCATAAGGTAGCGCATTCGATTCTTGATAGGCAGGTCCCAGGTTCAATTCCCGACAGGTAGATAATAATTTGAAAATTGATCTCAAGGAGAATTAATTGACGACAGATCCAGATAGGTAAAAAGTTTATTTTTTTCTTTCCGATTCATCATTTTAATCAATTTGAGGAAGCAGGGGTTTTTTTGCGCAAAACTTTTTATGTAACGAAACTTGATCTTTGTACATAAAAAATCTTGTACTCTTTACGAATTATTCTTGTAACAAAGACTACTTCGGCATTTCACTTCTGGTGTATTTAATGTCTTTTTTTACGAATTTTTTTTGTAAATTTTACGTCTTTGTGCTACTACAGAAAAAAAACCCCATAAAATCGTGATTATTTCTCCAGGAACTCTGATAATCGATTTCGAAATTGTGGTTTTTAGTATCTGGCAGTGCTTCTCTTGACATTCCAGCTCAAATTTTTAGGTCACGACCAACTTCGATTTAAACCCCTTTCAGGCGCACCGTGCATACTGATTGCTTGACAAAATTTTATGTTTTTAATTGTGATGTATACCAATTTTCACTTTACTAAGTGCTTGCATACTCGAGTTATGACTTTTGTCTGCCCTGCCCATAAGGTCACAGCTTTGGGGGCACCTTCGATGCAATTCCTGCCACCTCCAGGCGCACGGTATATACATGATAAGTAAGATGTGTGGCCGATCTGAACAGATTGCATTGAAATCCTTAACAATATTTTTTAACAGGTTGTTAACCTGTTCAGCATGCTGTTTTTTATGCCTTCGATGATAAGTGCAATCAGTGTTCTTTCAACATTTGAGCAAGCTTGTTGTGTAAAGTGTGTTGTAAAGTTATGACACTTTCAAAGCCCGAGCACTGTCAAGTTTGGTCAGTAAATCGATTTTGAACTCAAGAGCTAGGCCATGTGATATTATTCGCAGACTTCAAACATTTTATGGGGTAAACGCAGTGAGCGATGGAAATGTCCGGAGATTGAGTGAATCTTTTCGCAAAGGAAGAACAGAAGTGCTTGATGAAGCCCGAGATCGCAAGCTAAGTGTGAACTATAGCGACTTAGTGCAATAAGTAAACGCTGTAAGATGCAATGCTCAACGAATGACACTTGACGAATCGCTTAAATATTTACCTGAAATTTTTCGACCTGTCTTGCATTGAGCTGTTCAAGAATGGTTGAATTAACCAGAAGGTTGAATGTGCCAGGTGGGTTCCAAAAATGCTGCCTTATCGAGCTCCTGGAGGTGACAGGAGACTCATCAAAGGCAGCGCGTGAAAAATGACCTCCTAAACATCCTGTTTATCCGATTATTAAAAACTTGCGCTTAAATTAAGGCTGAAAGTATGCCTCATGATCGATTCTAATTGGAATTTCTCTATCTTTAATAATTTTGAAATGAGAGCAAAACGCTTAAGACTTTTGGGATGACCCTTGTATTGTTCATCAGAACGGGTGAAGGGGTCAGTCAGACAGTAAAAATTTACTGAACCTCCTTTAAAGATCAGCCAATGTTGCATCTTTTTCATGTGGTTCAACTAACTCAAGCCATTTGTGAAGGCCTGCAATGGTATCTTGGCTTTAGAAAACTCCAGTTGCGTTGAAATTCTCAAAATCAAAGTTTTCCTCTTTAACTCAGACCATGCTTTATTAGGGAGATTAACCAGGGTTGAACCCCAGGTGGTAAAGTGTGTGCAATCATTTGCTTTCAATAGAAGAAACCTTGGAAAAATGTTAGCCGAGTAGTTCATTCATGGTTTAACATTAAGAGGTGTTTATTGATTACACTCAAACTCTTAAAATTATGAATACAAATTCAACGATTATTGGAAGGGGGAAACTGAGTGCAGCTGGCAATGGAGACTGAACGAAAGTTATAGAGAAGAGTGAACATATGTGAAAAATAAAATTCAAGGTTTGAAAAGCGTACCACGAAGAGGTGTAAATATATCAAAAAGTGTTGATAGAAGACGATACTTACATTTGCCTGAAAATATTCGAGGAGCTGGTTAAGGATTTTAGCTTACGAATTGAACAAGCAGTCTAAATTGATCACGCGAACTAAATTTCTGGTTGCCCAAATTTGATAATAACTCTAGGTAGTGATAAGAGGAAATGCCGCAATACTACCGAACACAAGGCCTCTTTCACCTCTTTGACTTGACTATTACGCTCTTATTAGTGATCTTCATTGGCATGTTGGAATGTGTGGTATGAGAAGAATGGGGTGGGGAATGGAGTTGAACCATTGACGTATAATACAATCTAGACCGAGCATTGGGTCCGACTTTAGGCGGGGAAGGTAAGACAGCTAGGGGGGTAAAGACGCGCCTTCAGCCTAGTTGATACCGCCGGATATACGAGCTAAAGGTACCCGTATCAGGCAACGGCACTGGCAAGACTGGCATTTCCACGAATTCCACCATTGTCTCGCCGGTACACTTGCTGTGTGTTGCTGGGTTGCCTATCGTCTCGCTTGAATTTCGTAATGCGCGGTCTAGATTGTATTATACGTCAATGAGTTGAACTCATGGATACATAGGGTAAACTAGAGTACCTGTCCTGTATCCTGTATGGCGAGAGTAGAGTCCCTTTATACTAAGAGTCAAGACAATTTGAATCCATTTCTGATTGGTTCCCG